AGTGGGACTCATTGTACCTTGCAAGGGAAGACCAGAACACCAGGATTAATGGCTGTAATGCCAATGAGTCTGGGCTGCTCCAGCAGGAGTGATGCTGCTGCTTTTCAGGCCCTCACACTGCCTGTTCCTGTCCTTATGTGGGATTTATTTTGAGATAGCGAAGACTTCTTAGGTCATCTTTTCTCATACCGGCATGGGATAGTATCCTAGTAAACAAAGCATTACCCTTCCTAGTGTTCAGATCTTTCCAGTTACATCTCTCCTGTCCTTTCACTTGTGAGATTCTTCCACATGCAGATCTGTCTCTTTCCTAGGGCAAGTCTCGTGGTGTCAGGCATAAATGTCTTGTTTCTCAGATTCTTCTAGTCAAAGCGCTTTATAAAGTTAAATCAGTAATTTATTCCTTTAGTAGTTGCATCTTTTAAATTCTTGTTCAGCTGTCCAGTTTCCCCACTGAGCTGTGTCTCAGGCAAACTGTGTCCATTTTCGGCTGTTTTGATCTTTTCTTCCCAAGCTGATCCCCTCAAGCTTTTAGAGTGGGACACGGAATGAAGGGCAGCATAGCAAATGCAACAAAAGCATGAACAGCAGTGTTTGTGCTCTCTCTAGGCTGAACTCATACTGGCTTCCAATAATTTGTTTGGACCTCTCTGCATTAATACTTTATAATCATTATACTTCTCCCCTAACATGCCCCTCCTGGATGATATTAGTTTGCTTTCTCAAAAGTAGGGCTGATACTATTTTTCTGCCCTGGTTCTGATGACTTGCCTTATTGTGTCCTGACTTCTGTTCAACTTCTCCCAAATTACCCTTGTCTGTGAATTTCATTATGGTGCTGTTTACTTCCTGAAAGATCAAAACAGCTTTAAACCTTTGATGTTTATGCATCAGCCAACAGTTGGTTTGAAAATTGTTTTCTTCTTATTTTACATGAACTCTGTGTTTGATGCAGTCTTTAAGCCAAGTAGGTTGGCAAAGAGGGAATGGTATTTCCTTCATCCCTTCCCTAGAAGGTAAGATTGCCATTTTTTTTCTTCCTGCAAAGATGATGATCTGCCTGTGAAGCCCAAGAAGGAATGGATCCACATGGACAATGTGGAGTTTGAGAAGCTGGAATGGATGAAAGATTTGCCCTCACTCCGTCAGAAGAAAACCAAAAAGGTTTGAATGTAGAAACTGATAGTTTTCATGTTTGTGTCTGGATTGTGCTTCTCAGCAGCAACAGTTTTGAAGGTTTCAAAAACTAGTCCTCTGGTTACTCAATCTGTAAGATTTCATCAGCCTGAGAGATTCCCCAGTTTCTTCCACAGGCTGGAATGATACGTAGTCAGTGTGGGTTGTAGTGCTCAAGAGAACTAGGAAGTCAGAATCTAGCAACTGTAATCTGGGATGAAACAGGTCTGAAAGCTGAGAAAAAAGGAAAGAAGGGAGTAAATTTTTTTTTTAAGAATCTTGAGGCCAGACTGGGGAGTTTTTGAACTGTCACCTTCCAGCAGCTGATGTAAGAAGTGGTATTTTAAGTGATGAATGGAGTGGAAGGGAATAGAAATAATTTTTGTTTTCCCTCCGTTCTTTTATTGTAGGGAATGCAAGCTCGATTCAGTTTAAAAGGAGAGTTGATTCCTGCAGATGCTGATTTACCAACACATCTAGGTCTGCATCACCATGGAGAAGAGGCAGAGGTGGGTGTAATATAGTAGAAAGGGGCACGCCCATTTCCATTTTCTGTGTTTGATTTGGCAGTTTCCTTTTGTGCTGAGGCTTTTTAGTGACAAAAACCACAGGAAAGTGAGGATGGGTGATTTTCTTGTGAAACAAGCTCCTGAAGAGAAGTTGGGTCTGCAGACATTAACTGCTTTGCTTTCAGAAAACTCCATTAATACTTTTTCTCTTTAATGCCAGTAAGGATCTGTGGTGTAGGAAAAAGGTGCACAAATGTCCTTTTCTAAGAAGTTCAGCTTTCTCCTGTCACATCAATGATTAGAATCTCTTTTGCAGTTGCCACAAAGCAGCAAACAACATTGCATTGCAGTTTGTCCCCATTATACAGTATTTTACAGTTAATCTTATTTTAAAGGGCCTGTTTTTGCCTATAGCTGAGTTTGTTGTTTGTTTGGGGTTTTTTTTTCCCATTTAGAGAGCTGGTTATTCTCTCCAAGAGCTCTTTCATTTGTCTCGCAGCCAAGTTATTCAACAGAGGACGCTGGCTCTACAGGTCTTGGGTCGTATTGTTCAAAAGGTAAGTTACTTTCCATGGAACTTCTCCCCATAGTTCAAGTTTCTGGTGGGTCAGGACCCAGATTGTCTGGTACTACTTATTTGCTTTCTACTTCACCTCAGTGAAGGTGAGCAAAATCACCAGCAGGGCTTTTTTTTTTTTTTTTTCTCCACTGAGGATCTCCTTTCTGTTAGAAAAGTGTTGGGACATAACAAACTGAGTTTCAGGTTTCTCTGAAGAGAGATGCTTCCAAGTGTTGTTCAGCAGCAGTGCTGCAACTTCAGTTCTGTTCTTGCTTTGGACAAAAGTAATTTTTTTGGTGTTACTTTTGTGACAAACCTATCCTTGGCAATGACCCTTTCACTCCTGTTGTCTGGGCCAGCTTTGTGACATGCTTTTTCTGTAGGAGATGAGAATGAACCAGCCTACTCATAGAGTGATGTGCCAATAGCATAAAACAAAATTAATATTTAGTTCTGTGCACATTTCCACCTGACCCTTAGGGGAAGTGCTAACATTCCCTCCAACAGCACTGGAGGCAGAGAAAAAGAATTGAGATGAATGATGGGGCAGAACAGGCTGAAATCAGAAGATGGGTCCACACTTCAGAAAGAAAGGTTTCCTGCATTAACGAACTGGAGTTGCCTGCCTCTGTAGAACGAAAGGAGAAAGTAAAGGAAAAAAAACCCTGCACACAATTTAGCTGCTTTACAATAGAAATGGGAGGAGACAAACATGCAGAATGTTGAGATGTACCCAGCTGAGATGAGACAGCTTTAATCACTGGATTTGTGTGGCATGCATTTCAGGCCAGGGCTGGAGAGTTTGCTTCCTCCTTGAAGGGCAGCATTCTGCGTCTGCTCCTTGATGCTGGGTTTCTCTTCTTGCTGCGCTTCTCACTGGATGATGCAGTGGATAATGTCATGGCAGCATCTGTTGGTGCTCTCCGGGCTCTGCTGGTGTCACTCGATGATGAGGTGAGACAATCATTAAGTGCCTGGGTCTTAATTTCATGCTGAGCTGTTTACAGGAATGAGAAGATAAGGTAAGCAGCTGGAACAAAGGCTTGCTGGATGAGTTAGCTTAATGGTCAATAGAATGCCATTGCTCTGCTTTGGGACAGATAAGGGAGTGTGTTGTCCCAGTTTGAGAGATTTAGACATCTTTTCTTCTGTTTGAATTGGCTCTGCCCCATGATTAAATTCGGTGCAGGCTGCTGGGGTTCTCTTTCTTTTGACATCTTTACAGTCTAGATCAGGCCACTAGTGACGTCTGTGTACAATTTAGATTGTTTAATGTGTCCTCTTATGTCGTTGGCTTCTTGCTTTGTAGTTTTCCTGCGTCTGAACAGATTAAATATTTTCCCTGCTTTCCCTTATGCCTCTTAATGAAGCTGTTTTCTTTTTCTCTCATTGACTGTTTTCTGCTGTTCTCATATGCTGTTCTTACACTGATAAATACCTCATTTTGCCTTTTCATGTTTCTGTTTTCTCCTTGATGCTTTTTCTCCTGTTAGAAGGTTGAAACTTCTTTTGAGTGTTCAAAGATACTAGAGAGCCCTGAGCAGCAAGATTAAGATGTCTTCCTGGTTGGACAGAAGCAGTCCATTATAGGCAAAGCATGCTGTGGACTGTGTTTCAAGTTCCTTCTGTGGGAGCTGCTCCTGTGTCAGATTGCAAAGGTGCTGGTGATAGAGAAGAGTGGGTAGATCTCAAGAAGCCCCCTGCAACTTCTCCCAGGCCTTTAGAGCTATCCCTAGTGGGGAGGCAAGAGAAATGAAGGACTGGGTAGCTTTTTCCACATCTTGCTCCTTCTCTGAGCTATGAGCCCAATGTTGTTCTGCTAGATGAGTCTTGCTCACCCGCGGTAGGCAATTAATGCGATGAATCAGCTTCTTAATGTGCTGTTCTTTCTTCTGATATTACTCTGGTTTATAACTGTCTGCAGTGCTCTGATTCTCTGATCAAAGCTTGTGGTGTGATGTCTTGTATAAGGGGGGATTGCTGACTCTCTTGATGCCAAAAGCAGGACTGTGAATGCTGTGTCAGTATATTTTCTCACTTGGAGGGTCCTTCCTAGAGCCTTGTGCTGCTGAGTTTCAAAAGGTCTCTGAGGAAGGGACAGGGCTGGAAGTCTGGCCTTTTACTCCAGGATTTGTAAGACATAAAAATCATGCTGTCTGAAAGTTTTGTTCATTAATTGATGTCTATGGGAAGGAAACACCTTTGTTTTTTTTCCCTTCAAAGACCCAGATACTTCGTCTTGTGCTTTTCTTTCTCTTGATGGAAGGAAGGCTATAGTCCCAAACTCTGTATTCCAGACTGACTCGTAGCTTCATCCCCTAAAGTCAGGCCTCTTCTGATTTAATGTTACTTTTTTTTTTTTTTTTTAATGTCTTAATAACAGCTGACACTTCCTTGGCACTCACACTTGAAATTTTTCAGAACAGCTCAGGGTTTAGCTGAAGTCTATCACTTCTTTCTGACTAATATGGTAGTTATTTCTGATTGCCCATTCAGGAAATGGAAATTTAAACTAGTTATTAAGTGGTGCAAGCATTCAGTTTGACTGTCCTTTATATTCTAAAACATTTGGGGGAAGTAGGTCCGTTATGGGAGCAGTCCCTTCTCTGAAGAGTTGAAAGTTCACTTATTTGCAGTCTAGAACTTGAGAGTATCTGACACTGTCATTAGCTGTGAACAAAGAAGTTTTTTTTAATTTGCTGAAGCTCTGGGGTGTTCAAACAAAAGCCAAACAAACATGAACAGGTACACCAGGCAGTCTTTATTTTAACATACCAGTTTTTCCATGATCATTCTGTATTATTTGTGACCTAAATTCCACCCAGGTCCAGAAATGGGAATAGAGCCAATAAATGCAAAGTTTCAGTTTAACTTCTAGAGCTTTGGTGGTTTAATTATTTATTTTTATCTTAAATGTTTTTCAGTTAAGCTGCATTTCTGTTACTTCTGTAGTGAATTTAATTCACCTCACAGTAATTGCTTTTCATGATTTCCCAAGTGTGTGTGGGTCATAGGTTAAAATCACTTCCCTGAAAAAGCTACTTGTCCATGTTTAAAATATCCTTTATTGTGCTTCTGTTTTCCTGAGGTTAGGTGGGAATCAATAAAACATTCCATAATCAAAAGCATGATTTTGTCTTCCATGATTTTTTTGTGAGAATTTTATTTTATGTGCTTTTATTCTCCTTATAGAAATATCTCGATTGGACTTTCTCATGGTACCAAGGGATGGCTGCATTCCCCTTTGTCCCCAACAATGAGGAGGAAGAAGAGGAGGAAGAGGAGGAATTAAATGGAGCAGAGAAGTCACAAGAAAAAAAATTAAAGGATGAAAACAAGCCAGATCCAGATGTGGCCCGATACGATGTTGTAAAGGTAGGCACAGAGACTGATCTGAAATATTTTTAGGAAAATAGGCTGTGCCCAGTGACTATGTGTGCTGTTGAAACGTCTGCCCTCCTGTGTATGCTATTAAGAACGTTCTGAACAAGAGTTAGAACTCTTCCCTGGCTGTTGGATGTTATGTTTCTGTCATATATTACCAGGAGGGTAATTTATTTATCTGTCAAAATGTTGAGACTTGACCTGTGTGATTTCAGTATCATTAAGTATCTCTAGGGAAATTGGAGACAAGCACACCGATGACCTTGTAAGACTGGCTGAAAGACTGTGCACACAGAGATGATTTTCAAGCTTACTTACTTGAGCTAAAAGTGAAAAGGTTCCAGACACTATTAAAGTGTACATGTGCACTTTTGTAAAGTTAAACATGAGCATTACATCTAGATAGTTCAGAACTAGTCAGGTTTGTACAATTACTTTCTTTTTGTATTTGACATGAGGTGGCTACTTAGCATTTTCCCAATTTCATTCTTCATATTTGCATTTCTCAGATAAACAGTTAACAGCATTAGGAAGGAATTCCTCACATGTTTAAGCCTAATCCCACATCCCTGATAGGAGATCTAAAAATAGCAATCTTTTATCTCAAACCCAACCTTGGTGGAGCTAATGCAACTCTCTTGCCTGCTGCAATCATTCAAACCTGCAATCACATCACTTAGTCCACGTGCTTGAGCCTGTATTTGAATGGCATTTGGTTAAAAGCTTCACTGGGAAAATGAATTGCTGTACTTGGGCATCTGGTCTTTAGAGGCTTCATGATTTTAGATGTATGCTACTAGGTGACACTGTTTAAAAAGCTTAACAAAAGAGTTGTAGACAGAAGAGATGAGATCAGTTTATGATTCTGGAAACAGTTTTGTGGTTCAGCATAATGGATTTTAACTTGTTCCAGGTTAATCCCAATATCAGAAGATACTTAGGATAAAATTCTCCACTGTTACAGTTGTTGTGAAATTCCGTTTCACACCTGTTTATTAACTGTTACAACCCAATTACTCCACACAGTTGGAAAAGAAGCATTTAAACTAGCAACTGAACTTGGTCAAGCCTAGAACTACAACCTTGCTTGGCTGCAACTTTTTAAAAGTATTGGTACTATGAACTCAGATGTTGTGGAGTTACCTCTGCCCAGAATTGAGAATAAATAACACTGTCACTTAAACTGAAGATTTGTTTCTTGTTAAATAAAAATCACATCATCTCTCTGCATTTCTCTTTTCCTGCTGCAAAATAGGGATTGCTGTCTGCTCTCTGCTTCTGTCAGCTTTCTCTGACAACAGGTACTATCAGACAGAGTGCTGCATTAGTGGAAGTGGTGTCTAGCCAAAATGATTCAGGGAGCACGAGAACCCTTTTCATCACGTTAGGTTTCAGTAGTCCTTTACAGGGAAGGTTGTTTTCCTATTCCCTGTTACTTAGGGTTTCATACTCTGTAAGATGGAAGTATCCAAGCCCCACCAATGGTCCGAATCAGAACAGAAGTTCAGTTGTTCTGCTCTCTTGAGATAACTCTTGCTCGTTTGCTAGCGTACTGGCAAATCCGCAGAAATATATCTGTTTCCGCACTAGTAATTTTAAAACCTTCTCTCTGCAGAAGATGTAATTGAATCTGCTTTAGTCACCCAGCAACTGCAGTTCAGAGAACAATTGTTAAGAGCATAATGGATTTTTTTAATTGTTGGGCTTTTTTGTGGTTCCCCCCCC